GTCATTTGGGTCCCTTTGAATGAAGCAGCCCGAAGCCCTGGGGTATCACAAATCTAAACATATGATTTCTCAGATCAGTACTATTTTGCTAAGTTGTTCTGGACATCAGATAATTTAGCATTAATTATTGTGTTGTGTGCTAGTGTTAATCACATTCCACGAGTAGGTATTTGTCACGTTGCATCACCATTATTGTATTCAACCGGCGCTTCCTTACTATATGTACAGTAGAGCTCTCTATCTGATCACACATATCAAGACTCGAGAGCAGGGCTTGGCAGATGTTTTCTTCCAAGGGCCAGATAATACACATTTCCGGGATGGTGGGCCTTATTGTCTGTGTCTTAGCTCCACGTCCATGCCTTTAAGTGTGAACACAACCATGGACAGTGTGTGAATGAATGGGTGCGAGTGTGTTCCAGTTAAACTTTGTAAAAAACAGGTGAAAGGCCTGAATTGACTGTGAGCTGGAAGAGGGTTCACAGACGTAAATGCCTGTAGGGACCAGGCAAGCACCGCAAATGAGTGAAGTGTCTGACGGGGGTGGCCAGTAGCAGAGAACCCATGCTTTGTGTAAAAGGCACAACTACTTCTCACCTATAGTCACTTGTGACCGGCTCAGTGGTACCGGCAATTATAATTCAAGAATAGCTGGAGATTGGTAATTTTATGCAGAGTACTTTTATCAGTTGGTAGCTAACTTAGATTTGCTAAGGAAATACAGTGCCGGTCAAGCTATATATATACCTCCATGAACTCCTTTCTGGTCTTTGGGATCTAGTTTTGCAAATTCTGGTATTCTTAGGTGTAGCTATGTATTATGTGTAAGTTAGAATTTCCTGGAGCATGTTGTAAGAATGGATAGAAACTATCTCGTCTTGATGCTGCTAACTAGCCCTTCGAGTGCCCGTGACACACATCAGTAATTGGTCTTTCCTGCAGGGCCTGGGGACACTGGCAGAATCTTCTCCACCAGGGCTCAAAAAAGCCACAACCAATGAATGAGTTGGGTCCCTTGGTATGTAAGGTATTTGTCATCCCTGTTCTAGAGGACTCTGCCTAAAGTGTTTTGGGGATTAGCCTAGAAAATGGCTTTCGACATTTTACTATATGATTTTACTCTTGTTAAAAGCGGCTTAACCAAAGAGTATTTGAGAAAACATCTATCAGAAATAACGGATATGAGAAAAGGTGGGATTCTCTTCATGTGGCAGTATCAGATTTTAGATTCAAACTTAGGGAATTGAAGAATATCCAAAGCTGGATGTGCCCTAAAAGGTCGTTTGGGACCATTCCTTCCTTGAAGAGACCATGAACTTGGATTTCTGGCCTGACGTTTTTCACCACACCTGGTCCCAGTCATGTGAAGGAATAATTATCAAGGGGAATCCCTTTTCTCTTTTATTGCCTTTGACCCGTGTGCACAGTTACTGTAGAGAAAGGCATTTGGGATTTAGCAATGCTGTGATGGGGGTGAGCCATCTTCGATGCGTGTACTTTTGGGTTGTGTACGTGAAGTGGACATGACGCAGCCTAAGTAAAACTGCTTCATCGTTCATGTTGATCACATGAAACTTTGCATCTTGTCTTCCGTCATCACTTCTTAGCCTGCCCTCTGTGCGTGTAAACCCTGCTTGTCTTTCACATGTGATCTCTGAGAATTCTGCGCTCATCCTGTGAACTCTCATGGAACCTGTCGTCTCTACACTTCTTAGTATCGAGAACTGCACTGATCTAGCAGTGTCATGCCTTATTGTGTTGTCTGATGTAATTTGCGGTGTTTTTTTTGTTTTGTTTTCTATATTCCTGAATTCACATTTTCTTTTCCTGCCATCCAGCACAGTGAGGACTGTGAATGGTGTGAATTGAAAGGATATTTTGCTTGGAAGCGAGCAATTTATACAAGTGTTCCTGGAACGCTTTCTGTGTGCCAGTGATTAGGGCAATACACAGATGAAACATAAAAACTGGACCCTGCCCTCGAAGATCGGGGTCTTAGTGGACTCAAGTCTAATGGAATTTCAGGTATCCTCGCACTTGTAATCCTTGGTGAACATTTACTGGAAGAAAAGCTGTGCTGGTGCATAGCTCTGTTTCATTCACTGATACACCCCTAGTGTCTGCCAGGTATATAGCAAGTGCTCAATAAATATTCCTTAAATGAACTTGTACAAGTTTTTATGGAGGGCCTGTTAGTGTAGACAATTTATAATGTGTGTTTTCTACTTCCTTTTTGTGTCTCTTCCACTCTGTACCCAGCCACATAGTTCTCCTCTCAGAAAAATCAGTGTAGAGTATCCTTCTTGAGATATTATAGGTACATATATATATATACAGACATGTGTGTGTTTGTATTTTTCACACAAATTATTGCCTATTAGTTTCTTTCTCTTAAAAAATATCAGGTAGTTCTGTATTGGTGCATAGTCATATTACTTTTAGGGCAACAAAGTATTTTATTGCCTGGGCATTTCATAATGTATTTAACGAGAAACTTATTGATGGACATTTAGGTTATTTCTGGTCTTTTACTCTTCTAAACAGTGCCACACTATATATCCTTGCTCAAACGCCATTTTGCAACCTCTGCCAGCAGGAATTTTAGAATACATTCATCAAAACGGAATTGCAGAATGCCTCTAAGTTCCAAGAGTTTCTGTATTTGTAATTCTTTTTTTTTTTTT